CCCGCTCGCCCCGCTCCCCCAGGGGGCCTGGCCGAGATGACCCCGCCCCACCCACATCGCCCTGCGCAGCCCGGCAGGCGGCAGCAGGGGACCCGTCACTGCGCCGCTGGGAAGTCGGGCAGGCCCCGCTCACGCCTGGAACACGCTCCCCACAGCCAGCGCAGGGACAGACACCCACGCGCCGCCCCCCGGACACCGCCTCGCCCCCAGGGGGACCCCCCGCCACCCGGCCCGGTCACCCCCCGCAACGCGGCACCTTCATGAACTCGTCCTTGTCGAAGCAGAGGTTTCCGGGCCCGCGGGGCAGGCACATGCCCCTCGCCTCCATCCCCGCGCGCGGGCCGGCCCCGGGCCCCTCCTCTCCGCGCCGGCTCCCGGCTCCCCGAGCTGCGGGCGGCTCTTCCGCCAACATGGCAACGCGGCGGGCGCGACACCGACGAGGCGCCGCCTCCGAGCCGGGAGAAGCCGCCACAGGCGAACGCGGCCCCTAGCGGCTCCAGGCGTCACTGCAGCGAGGGGGGCACCGCCCCCACTGCTACGTCTACACGTTCGGAATCCGAATTCGGCGAAACTTGAGGAGAATCCTGCACCGTTCCCTGAGGGTCTAGATCAGCGCGGGACGCGACGAGTCTGAGTCAAGAGGAGCGCCCCAGCTGGGATGTTACATCCAGTCTTCCTCCACACAAGGCGGATTAACCACCCTGCGGCCCGCTCGTCTCCTCCACTGCAGTGCTGGGGTAGCTGCTGTCCCGTTCAAAAGATCCCAGCAGGAGATGCACGAAGCGCGGCGGGGCAGATATTAACGAGACGTGTGAGGGCAGTGGTATAGTACAGCGCTAGTGCAGACACGGGACGAAACTGCAGCAGATCAGAACTCAGACTAGCCTGGCTAGTGTGAACACCCCCCACTCCGTTCCGTGCTTAAGAGCTAATGAAAGAGGTGCCTGGGGCTCAAATTTTTTTTTTCTTTAATAACTGACTCAGCAAGCAGACTGGGGCTATGAACTGCCAAGCCTAGAGGTGCCAGGTTTCAGCCTGGCACAAATTAAGCATTGCCCACCCTTCGTATTTGGCCTGGTGCCCTAACTCGGGTTCAGTTCTCCAATGTACATGAGGTTTCTGGTCCTAGACAATTTAGGGCAGTGATTTTTGACCATATTCTGCTAGGGCAAAGATAGGCAGGCTTTACCTCTGCTTCTGGATATAACAACAAGAATGTCCAACTATCAGAGGGTGACTGGCCCCTTTAAGAGGCACAAGGTTCCCATGCATCCCAGTTAGACCCAACTTTCATAGGAGGAAGGTATCTAGAGTCATATGTTAAAGGTATATGTGTATTTCTGTTATATAGAGGGCTCTAAGGTTGGTGTCAGATTGGCCCCTTTAAGAGAGAGCAGGTTCACTGCCCAACTGTGTTTTAGGGAAGTCACCTGAACCATATAAAGAGGGAGACAACTGCAGCTGGTTGTTGGCTGATGTTTGGTCCTTTATAAAACACAGGTGCCTTCCCTCAAGCCCAATTAGGCAGCAGATAATTAGTCCAAGTTCACTAGAACCTGCTCCCTATTACAGGGGCCAGTCAACTTGTGACACCATTAGAGCCATCTGTTTAACCTTTACCTTATGACTCTGGATACCAATCTCCTATGAAAATTGGGTCTAATTCCAGACTCTCCAGTATGTAACATACTCAAGGCACATTCCAGTTCTAGAGTGGCTTTACCAGATTGGAATCCAACCCAAAAGATGTGTTCTGTATTTGCATGTGTTCTGTATTTGTCATTAAAATGCTATGTGGGTAAGGAATGCATTTTTTTTTGTGTTTGTACATTGGTGAGGGCCTTGATCCTGACTGAGGTCTCTGGGTGCTAGTATAATATAAATATACAATAATAAACACTCCATTGGATCCTCACAATTTATCCATAAGAACTGAGGCAAAATAGTTAAGAGAGTCATAGTGAGCTGATACTGATTCTGCCCTAGTCCACTAAACTAGACCATCAACACCCAAAGTGGTGCTACTCAATGGGAGTGGTGCGATGGAATGGAGGTATTACAAAAATGTAGAAAAATGGTGAGGATAGACAGTCCTACCATAGACGTGGGTGAATCAGACATTACAATGAGTCGTCTGAAGGTATCTTTTCTGCCACTACTTTTTTACCATGACTACAGTACATTTCTGTTATAAGCCTCTGGTCCATCCCTCTTCCTTTTTCCCTTGCTTTACTCGTGTTGTTGTTCTCATTCTTTGATTTTCAATCATCTGCAGGCATAGCTGGGCTGTTTCTTAAATGCCATTTCACATCATCCATTCCAAATTGTAGGGAAATGGTGCTTTTAATAAACTCTTGTGGGAACCTTCTGACTCTGTTTAATCTGCAGTCCTCGGTGACAAAGGCTAAATATATGCCTCTCTTTCATGGGACCCTTCGAGGGACTGAAGATGAGGTATCTGAAAGTCATTTAAATAACACTTCAGAATCAGCACAGTTGTACGGTTAAGGCCTTCATCTGCAGCCAGATTAAAAGAGCAGCCAAACAGCAGCCATTGGCTGAGAAGCAGGAAGTCACATCCTCACATTCCATCTAAATGACATTAAAACAATGTAATATCAGGCTGTTAAGAAGGAGACCCTGTCCTAATGGCACCCACTCTATCACCAGATAAAGAAACAGATCTTAAGATGGTTAAAGAAAACTTAATTTGATAGCATTCTGTCTGTCAAGAAAGCACTTATCAATAGTTGTGGTTGTGAAATCCTCATTTCTTTATTGTTTTGTCCCCACTTCCCTATTGTTTATCTGTATGGTCTCTGGTTCTTTAATTGTTTCTATCCGTTACATAATTTTGCTAGGTGTAAATTAATTAAGGTGGTGGGATAGGATTGGTTAGAGAATTTTGTTAAACTATGTTAGGATTGGTTAGTAAAATTTTAGTATAATGATTGGTTAAGGTATAGCTAAAAAGGACTCAAATTTCGCTATATAAACTGGGGTCCAAAAGGAAGTTCTTTGGGAACCAACTCCAGGACACAGCCCCAAAGATCAGAACTGCCAGACCACACCACTCTGCTAATGACACCATGCAGAAACTGGAGTCCCCCAAATGGACCTGATCCTGACTGGCCAGCAGGGAAAAGTTAATCTGTTTTACTGGGAGTGGTGAGCACTGTATGTGTAACGTGTGCATTCTGTTTTTGGTAATTGTTAATAAATAGAGGATAAGGATATTACTGTGTAAAGCTCTTTCACTGGTAAAAGGGCCTGCAAACCAGCAGGGTTACGCCTGAGCCCTGGGAACTGGGTAGGGGTGGGTGCCTAAATTAAGAGGATTACACCTTGAGCCCTAGCAACAGGGTAAAGGTGAGTGCCCCTAGAGTGTGTGAGTAACAGAGAATTTTGTACTGGTAACACATTGCCAAAGTAGGAAGGTTTGGGGGGGGAAAAAGAGGTACCATACTTACAGATTGCACAGAGGCTGATAGCTTTTAAAGATCCCAGTGTCACTTCACATCCCTGAGCAGAGGACACTTTAAGGGATACACATTGATATAATAAATAATGTTTAGTATAACTGAATCATCACTTTCCTGAGGGCTGCTAATGACTAATCTACTATCTTGGAAATGCTTCCATTCCAATGTACATTAGTTAAATGAGGAAGTAAAGAAACCATGTAACCTCCTGTCTCAGTCTTCAGGTTTCTCTGGGTGTTATTTTTACTAAAAAGCATTACTTGCCAGGGACATTGCATACAATTTAGGATAAAGGGTAGAAATACAACAGCATGCTGCATGCAGGGATAGAGATACTAAAATTAATTCATGGGAGATACGTAGGCTACCAAGAACCTCCAGGAAACGTAGATAACATTAAACAAAATGATGTACTTGGTGCTGACGCATTGCTTTGAGTGCATTCCCTTAATAAAATGACATTTTTGCCACTGCAACGCTTGGCTGTCTGCCCACATTGTTAAAGACAAATTCTATTTTGGCTACTTCCTGTAGATATCTAAAAACTGAACTCTAATTAAGAATCTTAAGTTCAAAGCAAAGAAAGATGTTTCCGACTAATACTTCACTTGCATCCATTGTCTTCTGTTGACTGCAAAGCACATGGCAGTGGGTCTACTCATGTGAGTAAAGTGAGCAGGAGTTAGTTCTGTGGGTCCAAGCCTGCACATTGAGGTCTATAGGGATTTTTCCATTGACTTTAATTACAGCAGGATAAGGCCCAAGACCCTGGTTCAGCAAGATACTTAAGCATGTACCTAACTTTAGACACATGAGTAGTTCCACTGGGGCCAGTGAGATTCCACTAATGCTTAAAGTTAATCTGTGCTTTAGCATCTTGATGAATCAGGGCCCATATGAGCCAGATGAAGAATTAAGGTTGCTGAATTCCCCAACTGATGTGCAATTTAAATCTGGACCATAGAATTTAACTGACATTGATTTGGTCTGGTTTTTTGTTTTCTTATAATTTATTATATATTTGATAAAAGGTATAGTGGATTTATGTAAAATGTATTCTTCACATATGAAAATGGGACAGTTTTGCAACTTTTAAAACATGTTTTATATGTAAAACACATTAAAATGTTGTAAGATTGGGCCCCTTTTCATCAAGGCAGGCCTTGTGGCAGAAAGTCATTTTAGAGGGGCAAGAACAACATCACAAAGTGCTTGCAACCATGCTCTGCTGGGAGCCAGCCCAGAGAGGAAGTAGAATCAGCAAGAGAGATGTCAATGTGAGATGAGCTGTAAATTAAAACTGTCTGCCCCTAGCAGAACCTTTGTGGCAGAGAGACAGTGATGCACTCCATTCACTACCTGTCCTCCCTCAGCAGTGAATATCCCAGTTTGTGCAGCTTCCCTGTGGGTGCAATTTTCTTCACCAGCCAGTCACCGACTTTTTCCTTCATGTTTCATTATTGTATTGCCTGATGATTACAATGTGTCCAATTGTTTAGAGCAGCAGATCTCTGAGCAGACATAGCATAGAATATTTTAATGCAAAGCTTTGGCTGGTGGACGAAGGCAAGGCGATTTTCCAGAAGAAACAGGTATATTTCCTCTATTTGTGTAAAGGGCCAAAAGTAGAACTGGTGGATCATTAATTATTATTTATATTGGAGTAATGTCCAAGGACCCTGATAATGATCCAATAACCATTGTGCTAGGTACTGTACAAACATGTAGAAAGACATGATCCATGCCCTGAAAACAATATATTTGTAAACAAAGGACTTGAATTTGATCCATTACCATAGGAACTGTCATACTATCCTTTATTCAAAATATTCAGACAGCATCCATGAAAATAATCAAAAATCTTGAAAGTACTGTATTTGCTATCTCCCATTTCCCATTTGTCATTCTGCTGTTTAAAAAGTTTCCAATCAGTGCCCTGATGTGTAATTTTTGGCATGATCAATAATGGGAAA